AGCTTCTGATGGAAAGGTATTAATAAACTCAGAAAACTGACATCAGTTGCCTCCACTCTAGAAAGCTAGTTACTTTGCCTTAGAACTCTCCCCCCTTCCTTTAGTCATGCAAAGTACTTTAATCTGCTTATTTATCAGGAGAGGAAGGGTGTCTTTCCTAGATTAGCATTTACCTCTTGAAATGGTTTTTCACAGTCACATGTAAATTATGTCTTAAACTGCCTGTTTACCAGGAAAGGAAATACATCTCTCCTGGATTATTATTAACCTTCTCAAAATTGTTTTTCTCAGTCATTTGCTAACTATTTCAGAAATTGTTCATTTACTAGTAACTACACACAGACACTAAAGTTAAATTGCTTCCTCATGAGAAGATTTATATTTAAAAAGTTTATTAAAAGGCATTGTATCTCTACGAAGATGGTGCCAAAAGCTAGGAAGGAAGCCCCTGCCCCTCCCAAAACTGAAGCCAAAGCAAAGGCTTGAATTTATTTTGTTTCCTCAGCTTAAGAAATGCTGAGCGAGTTCAGTCCTGTGACTAAGCTCCAGGAGAATGGGGATCCCAGAATACTTGATTGTGCTCATATGAAACTTATACTCAGACCAGGAAACATCCTTCAGAACAGAGCAGGGAAATACTGCATTGTTCAAACTCAGGAAAGGAGTGCATCAGGGATTCTTCCTGTTTCAATCTATAAATAGAACAGATCATTTGGGAGCTAGGCTTTTTGAGAAAGAATGTGGCATCAGAATTGGAGGAAGACTCATTATCAAGCTACATTATGCAGATGACACAACCTTGCTTGCTAAAACTGAAGAGGACCTAGCGCACTTACGGCAGAAGGTCAAGGACTGTAGTCTTCAATATGAATTGAAGCTCAACATCAAGAAAACAGATTCTCACTACTGGGCCAATTGGCAGCACCATGATAGATGGAGAAGAGCTTGAGGTTGTTAACAGTTACGGTTTGCTTGACTCCACAATCAACACTCTTGGTACTAGCAGTCAGGAAATCAAAAGACAAATTGCACTGGGAAAATTTGCTATCAGGGACCTCTCCATATTAATGAGAAGCAATGAAGTCAGTCTAGAGACTAAGGTTTGCCTGATCCAGACTGTGGTCTTTGCAATCATTAGCTATACATCAGAGATCTGGACAATGACTAATGATGACAGAAGAATTGATGCCTTTGAGTTGTGAGGCTGGAGAAAAGCCACATGGACATACCATGGACCGCCAAGAAAACAAATAGGTCTGTCTGAGTGAGGATAAAACCAAGTTTCCCTTGGAGCTTAGAAATTTAAAGTTCTGTTTCACATACTTTAGGCACGTGGACAGGAGGGACCGGTCCTTGGAAGAGGACATCATGTTCAGAAGAATGGCGGGACAGTGTAGGAGAGTATGAGGATGTGATAGATTGACGCACTAACTGGGGCAATGGGGGGAGGTGTGTCTAAGTCAGTGAGACTGGCTCAGGATAGGGCAGGCTTCAGAGCTAATGTATATAAGGTCACTATGGGTCACAGGTCGACTTGATGGCACATAACAACAACAATGTTGGCCTCTCAGTGACAGATACAGCAGATGTGGGTGGGAGATGGAATACACAGATGAGATTTGATTCCAATTTGTTCCTGTTACTATTTTCTAACTTGCTAATGTCATATTTACAATTGATGTATAAATCACACTGTCCAAATCAATTATTAAATTGTTAAAACTGTGATCTAATTTTCTGCATGTTGGCCTAGACCCAGTATTAACTATGCCCCTGAGAACACCCTATTGTTGGAGTGGGCAGATGGGAATTCGCTGAGTTGGGAATTAACCTCATTGTCAGTGGAGACCTAGACCCACAGGGCTACCACTGAATGATGAAAGCTCCTATCATATCACAGGCCCTCTGACGTCTTATAACCTGGAAGCGGCACTGAATCTATGGCATATCTTATGAGAAATTGAACAAGGAGTATTTCTACTTTGGTCTTAAAACATCAGTGATGAGGGGACAAAAAAGGCCTGAGTGATACAGTAAATGCTACTTCCTCAGCAATCCTTCTAAACTGGAGAGTCAGTAAAACAGCATGTAAATTTCTTCACTAGGGTTGTAGATACCGATGGCTTCTGCTTTAAATCTTTCTTTGAATATAGTAAAAATTCAAGTTCCACAGGCTTGACAAAATTTTATGACTTTCCATATTTGCATGCTTGAAAACTTACTTCTATAGTAAGAAAAACCTAACTTAGAATCATTTTACCTTGGCTTGAACTCTCTGGAGAAGTTGCTTCATAAAAATGAATCTTAAGTCAGATAAGATTTTGGGTTAGTCTTAAAATTGTCTTAGATTCTTTACCCCTCTGAACCAAACTCTAAAGGGTCAACTAAATTATTTGTATGAATATTTATTTATCATGTAGGTTTTAATTATTGCATAGAATTACTGTTCAGAAATAACTTTAAAAATATGACATTTATTAAACTAATTTAAGTAATTTTTTTGTGGATAAGAAATTTAAGTAATGAAATTTAGTTCTTAGATGAAATTCTTTTCTATGATGGTTTTAAGTCAATTAACTGCTTTCTTAGAAAGGAAAATATGCATAAGTTTCTGAAAGAAGAGTGGCTCTCAGAAATGAAAATTTCTTTTTCCCCTTAATCTTGGCTGAAAAGTCTGAATTTTTTCTGAAAACTCTGGATTCTTTTCAATTAATTGTGAAGACGTAACTAGTTGATATAATGAAGAATGAAAGTTACAAATAGAAAAAAATCTCTTATTTCTTGTTAGAAATGACCATTTTGAAATCATAATTTGCCAGTAGTTATCCAACTACAACACATTCATATCCTGTGATACTGCATTTTACTGCAAAATTTATCTTATTGAAATATATGTATCCGTTAATAGATATCTTTATCTACAAAGATAGCCATACTGATAGTTATATGATATGCCCACTGCAATATTCTTATGACAGCAGAAAGTTGCATATGAGACACATCTCTATATACTGACAGAAAACTAATTTAATAATCAATTAGTCTTTAGAATTCAATGGATAATATATCAACAACAACAATAACATATATATGTGTATATATATGCAATGCAATCTATATTATACTATATATATGTATATGTGATACAATACAAATATGTATGAATTTGTATCATAAAATGTGTATGTAAATATGCAGATTCAGTATTTCTAAACAATTTGTATTTGCAGATCTTGCAGGATAAATAAATTGTAATTAATTACACAGGTATAAAGGATTTCAGAAGTCAGTGTTAGAATCTGATCTATGCAACTCTAAAATTTCTGATTTGCATTCTTCACTGAATAATCTCTCTTATTCCCACTTCTGGGCTTTTGCCCACCCTTTTACTCTGCTGAGAATAGCTTCTGTTTAGCTTTAAGCCTTAGTTTATTTTTTCCTTTATTTCTTCAGTTTACTGCTGTGTCTTTGTTATTCTTTTAAATCTATAAGGTCTACCATCTATTTAAGGAAACGGGCCACATTTGACACTTTTCTTTTTTACATTGCTCAAATTTGCAGCATCTGCTGAATTATTTGAAATATTCATCACCTTCAATAATTATGGAATTAAAAAGAAAGTGGAATAACAAAGTAAAATTTCACTAAGATCGTTCTATTTTTCATTTTAAGATCACTCATTGCCAGAGAGTTAGAAGTGACTCATGGCCGATTCTCCAGTGGATATTCCCAGGCTGTAAATCACAGAGGAAGAGTTTACCCAGCTCTCTGCCTTGGAGCCAATGGTAAATCCAAAGAGTCAGAGGCAGGACACTTGAGTTATCAGCACAGTTCCCTGTGAACCAACTCACCAGATCTTCCTAACATCTTAATATTCATTTTAATAACCTTTTGAAAAATAATTCCTTACTAAGCCATTTTAGAAAGGAAAAGGAATATCTCAAAAACATTGAAAGTTTGAGATCTGATTTGATTCGTAATCATGGATAAAAAAAGTCTAGGAATAAAAATGTTAGAGACTACAGTCACCAATTGTCATCATTAAGCTAGGTTTGCAGATAAGTCGAATAGCAGCCGATCTCTAACAACACATGCATGGTAAAGCTTGAAGAATCACTACCATCTTTCTCTCCTCAGTTCCTAGGTCACTGTGGTTTCTTTCTGTTTGATAAAATACCTTTCAACTGCATTGATAGACCAAGCATGTTTAGTAATAAAAAACCGAGAATTTTTAAAAAATGTGACATCTCTGACTATTGAAAAGGGTTATAATCTAGGCTGCTAACCCCAAGTTTAGATGCTTGAGTCTACTCAGCTTAACCCTAAAATAAAGTTTTAGCAATCTACTTCTGAAACATCAGTTATCAATACCTCACAGCTCTGATACACATGGGGTTGAACTGGTATTGCGTCTAAACATCTGTGAAGTTTAGATAGCAAGCAATTGAAATTATGCTGAGAACATTATTTTTTTTTTCATTTAAAAACCATTCTGACAGACATATGAGAAATAAAACTATTTCTCTCTTGCTGGAACCCAGAGATATCTTAAAAACCTAATTTTGATTTATGATTTATCATATTTACTACTTAGAAAAGATAATCCTTACTTTATTGGGAACTCTGGTAACTTGGTCCATAGGGAGTTTTGCTGATAAACCAGAGGTTACACGTCTCTGGTGATTCAAATACTCCACATTCTCTGGAGGGATGGAACAATGGTCCATCTGCTCCTGTTGGATTTAGAGCCTTGGAATCCTATTGGATGGCAAGCTAATAAGGGTTTTAACATGACGGCAATGAGTTTTTTCTGTTTTGTTACTTTATATCAATACCTTCAGAAATTCCTCACCTTGTCCTAGATTTCTCTAACAAATCCAGCTATCACCTCTGCCTCGTCAACGGTATCTCTGGTCTAATAATCATAATTAAAAATCATACAATTTTGTTTTGTTTCAGGTTTCCAACTCTCAGGCAGAGCTCAAATCATTATCCAGTAAATGGGAAACAAAAACAATGTGACAGAATTTATTTTTCTGGGTCTTACAAAGAACCCGGAGCTGCGGAAAATATTCTCTGTGGTGTTTCTCGTCATGTACGTGTTCACGGTGTTGGGAAACGTACTCATTATGGTAACCATGATTACGACGCAGAGTTTGAGAGCTCCTATGTATTTTTTTCTCACTTTCTTGTCCTTTTTGGATGTCACCTTCTCTTCCGTCATCACCCCCAAGATGATCATCGACTCCTTTTCCGAGCACGCCACCATCTCCCTTGAAGGCTGCATGACCCAGATCTTTGCAGAACATTTCTTTGGTGGCGTGTCCATCATTCTTCTCATCGTAATGGCCTATGATCGCTATGTGGCCATTTTCAAGCCCCTCCACTACCTGACCATCATGAGTCCACGTGTGTGTTGCCTTCTGGCCGGAGTGGCCTGGGTGGGAGGATTTTGTCATGCAACGATACAGCTCCTCTTCATGTACCAAATACCTTTTTGTGGACCCAATATCATTGATCACTTTAAATGTGATTTGTTTCAGTTGATAATACTGGCATGTATAGACACTCGGACCCTGGGCCTCTTGGTCATCCTCAACAGCGGAGTAATGTGTGTTACCATCTTCCTCTTTCTCATTATCTCCTATATGGCCATTCTCTGCTCTCTGAAGTCTTGCAGCTCAGAAGGACGAAGGAAAGCCTTCTCCACCTGTGGTTCCCATCTCACTGTGGTGGTATTATTCTTTGTGCCATGCATTTTCTTGTACATAAGGCCCGTGGCCACTTATCCCATAGATAAGGCAATGGCTGTGTCGGATTCCATCATCACACCCATGTTAAATCCTTTGATCTACACTCTGAGGAATTCAGAAGTTAAAAATGCCATGAAGAAACTTTGGATGAAACGAGAGACTTTAGTTGACAAGTAACTGTCATCATGCTGAGGACACTGTGAATTTCCGGAAGAGAGAAGTTCTTCTGCTCACAATGAATGAGAAAGAAAACTGTTCATCTCCCCGTAAATCTGGAGGGAAGGGAAAAGTTAGTGTCATAAAGTCAGTTCAGACTCTATAGCAACCTTCTGTCAGGTTTCTGAGGCTATGAATCTTAATGGGAGGAGACTGTGCCACCTTTTATTTTGCAGTGGACAGGCTATGAACTACACCACTAAAATCTACCTGACTCTTTTCCAGGGAGTCAGAATCCAGTCATAACTCACTCTTCAGAAACTCGGACTCACAAGAGAGAAAACTGTCCATTTTTTTCTCCCATGGAGAAGCTGGTGGATTTGAACTGCCTGCCTTCAGATTGACAGTGCAACTGTCTAAACATAGCCAATCAGACCTCCTATCTCCCTTGGACTAAATCACCAGAACTACCTAAATCTAGAAGAATCTTTCAAAAAGTATGATTTAGGGAATTTACAATTTACAGAGTATGTGTTTTCTAGTGTTCATTCAAGGAGCTCTTGTGGTTTAGCGAGAAATCGTTGGACTGCCAACCCAAGAGCATGTGTTTTGAATCCACCCACTACTCCTCAGGATTAAGATGTTTCCTACATGATTTACTTCCTCAGAAAACCTCCTGGAGCATCATTTATGGGTCAGTTCAGAATTCACGATACATAACAACACTTTCTTTCACTGGCTTCTGGTTGCCTTCATTTCAAATTTTTAAAATTATTTTATTGTGATTTGAATGTAGTGAATTATTTTTGGATTCAAACATTCACATCTATTTGACTTTATACTGTTAATTTCAATAATCACAATGTAGTCACGCTTTTACCACTTCTTTCCTATTGTTCTCCTTTTCATTAATCCTAAGCCTCTTTGAGTCTCCCATATTTTCAAATGACCCTGTGCTGATCATCCTTTTATTGTATACTGCATTTTTCTTCACCTGTGTTATTCATTTACCCCACTTATTCTCCTTTCCCTTCCCTAATAACCTTCCAAGAAATATCCCATCTGTGTGTAAACTTTTCCTTAGTTTTTTATAACAATCATCTTATACATTATCATATTTATATACTTATCCGATAATTTGTGCTATCTTCCATCTTCCTCTCTAGACTAGAAATCATTGTAAGGTCCTCTAGTGGCAAGCAGCTGTGCTGCAATCCCAAAGGCATGCAGTTTGAATCCACCAATTGCCTCTTGGGAGGAAGATGGGCAGTCTCTTCCCATGCGATATACTGTCTCTGAAAACCCACCGGAGAGTCAACTATGACTTATTTCTGACTCGATGGCACACAATCAAAACAAGTAGTATCTATTTATTGTCCATAAATGTCTTTTGAATGACTATAGAAGAGGAATACTTGTATTTATTTAGGTAGGTAGGTAGTTAGCTAGCTAGTTAGTTAGTTAGTTTTAGTTATTTTTAAAAAAGCTAAATTCCGGTGATTAGGGAGACAGCTAATAAGCAATTAAAGTAAAGAAAAGTCTGAGAGCGATCATTACAGTGGAGATAATAGCAATAGAATGCTAGGACTATTTCTAGGAAGGTATAGTAAAATGGGTACTTAGAAACATTTATGAGCAAGTAACATTTCAAGTTGATTTTGAAATTGAGGTTTCTTTATGAAAAGAAACCCTGTATTAATTACTGTAATTAATAATAATAATGTTGCTGCTGTTGTTGTTATTTACCATAGAGTCAGAAGCCACCCATTGCTGCCCCTCCGGCGTGTTTTCAGAGGCAGCTATTCACACAGGAGAAGAGTCATAAAAGAGAAATGCTCTTTTGAGAATTAGTGAGATAGAGATTCTAGAAAGAGGAAGAGCCACTGAAGTACTCTAAGATAGAACTACCATGGCATGTTCAAGAGACTACAGAAGACCAGACTAGGAGAAAGAGTGACAGAGTAGGAAAAAGTAGGAAAAAGTGACATTTATTTTAGTAAGGACTAACAATTATATATTTCTATTAATATATATGTATATTTTTCAGATATGTTTATATATAAAATATTAAATGTGTATATTATCCACTTCCTAAACACTATGCCTCCAGAAAAGATTAACTTTGATCAATGTAGATAGGCCTCACAAGCCTTTTGTTCCTAGGGTCATTAATGAGTCCTGTTCATTTCAAAGGCAATCAACAACAACTCTGTCTCTCTCTATATCTATATATATATCTATATCTATATATAGATATAGATATATATACTTTACATATACATACTTATATATATACTTTATATATACATATATATACTTTATATATACATATATGTAATTTTTTGTTACTGTAATTCTGTACCACTGAGTAACTTGTGATTCATAGCAACCCAACCCTATGCACAATAACTCTGAATAATCCTGAATCCTGTCCTATTCTGAGCCAATTTCACTGTTTCAGACACACCCACTCCACTGACCCAGTTACTGTGTCCTACAGAGTCTTCCTCTTTTGCTCTGTCTCTTCACTCTTCAAAGAATGATGTTTTCTCCAAGATAGATACCGATATATATTTATATATACACAGAAGGAACTCTAATGGTGTATTAAATTGTCTGTTTGACTGTTAGCCAAAAGATTGTTGGTTCAAATCCTTCAGCTTCTCTATGGGAGAAAGATATTCTCCCTTAAAGGCATGCAGTCTCAGAAACACAGTGATAGGCGACCACGAGTTGGAATCAATTCATTGGCAACGGGGTTGATTTGGATTTTATGCACACAGCTTTCTGACAGACCTTTGGCTTATTGAGTTTTGTTACCAGGATTTTCTGTTAATAAAATAATCTGGTAAGAATGTATGGTCCTTTCCAAGATGTCGGGTGGAATATCAAAAATCTTACCCTGAATTATGATCGATATACAGCATTCTAAAAGTAAAATTAAAATTCTATGACTTGAGTTTCTCACAGAAACAGAACAAAAAGAAGAGCAAATTTATTTGTGAAATAAATCCATTAAATCCAATAACATGACAAGGTCATCTTTTTGTAACACTAGTCAAACCCTTAAGTGCTTGGTTATTAACTGAGAGGTTGGTACTTTAAATCCACCCAGAAATGCCCTTGGGGGGAAAAGAGGAGTTAGCTATATAGTCCCTAAAATCCACAATCCTGAGAACCTTGTTATTGTTGTTTTGTGTCATTGAGTCACCTGTGACAGCAGCTCTGAACCCTGCCCTGTCCTGAACCAGTCCCACTAATTCCAACACACCAACTCCCATTGTCCCAGTCACTGTATCGATCCATCTCATCCAGGATCTTCCTCTCCTGTGCTGTCCCTCTACACTTCCAAACATGATGACCATCTCCAAGGACTGGTCTCTCCTGGCCACAAGCCTAAGAAGTATGTGAAATGGAGCTTCAAAATCCTAGCCTTCAAAGAGAAACTTGGTTTCACACTCTTCAGGTCAGAAAAATTTGTTTTCTTGGCAGTACATGACATGTTCAAGACTATTCTCCAACCCCATAATTTGAAGGCATCAATTCTTCTTCTGTCATCCTTAGTCATTGTCCAAATCTCTAAAGTACAACAAATAACTGTGAAGACTACCCTTTGGATTAAACACACCTTAGTCTGTAGACTAACAGTGCTGCTTTTCGGCACTCTGGAGAGGTTCCTGACAGCAGATTTTCCCAGTGCAATTTGTCTTTTTTTAAGTTAAATTTTATTAATTTTAATGAACATTTTCAGAGATTTTAGGTTTCCATTCATTCATTGTTGCACTATTTTCTCTACCCTCCCCCCCAGTTCGTTCCTTCCCCCCCCCCCAGCTTGAAAGTGCAATTTGTCTTTTGATTTCCTGACTGCTGATGTTAAGAGTATTGATTGTAGCACTAAGCAAGCTATAACTGTTAACAACCTCAATCTTTTCTCCATCTATCATGGTATTGCCCAGTGGTGAGAATCTGGACAATGACCAGGAATGACAGAAGAAGAGTCGATGCCTTTGAGTTGTAGTGCTGAAGAAGAGTATTGACCATACCATGGACTGCCAAGAGAACGAACAGGTCTGTCCTGGAAAGGGTGAAAACAAGCTGCTTTTGGGATGCAAAGGTTTTGAGGGTTTTGAGACTCTAGCTGAGATACTTTGGGCATGGAGCCAGAAGGGAACAGTCTTTGGAGAAAGGTATCATGATTGGAAATGCCAAAGGACAGTGCAGGAGTGGGACACCCTGGATGAAATGGATTGACACAATAAATGGGGTAATGATGGTAGTTGTGTCAGAGACAGTAGGAGTAGCTCAGGATAGAGTAGGATCCTGGCCTATTGTGCTTAGAGTCTCTATGAATTGTAGTCAACTCATGACACATAACAACAAATCACACACAAAGAGTGTACCTCTCTTTCACTTGCAGAGCAGCTGGTGAATTCAAGCCGCCTGTCTTTGTGTTGTCAGCGACACTCCTTATCCATGAACAAAGCCAAGAGAGCTCCCTATCAGGCTAACAGATACAAATAGAATTATTTCCAAGTCCCAATCACCATTTAAAAAAAAAAACAAAACCCTCGATTTAAATGTTCACTTGATGTTATGTACCCAACTCTACTCCTTGAAAATAATCTGAAAGTTAAATATTCTAAACCAATAAAACAGTCGCAAATGAAGGGTGCTTTTTTGTGTCCTGTTTGTTTTTTACTTTTCAAAGTCTTAGACTATGAGAAATTTCAGAAAATAATAAAATGAGCTTTATTTTGATGCAAGAACCAATAGGTTTTAAGGAATAATTTTATAGTGTAATAATTCTGCTTTGACATGAATCTATCAGTTTAGATGCCTGCCTTTCCCTCTGAGACTGGAAATCATCTTCCAAAGAAAGGAAGCTAAGGATTCAACCTCACACTCCTGGAACTGTAACATACCCTAAATGAAAAGCAGAAGGTTTCAGAAAAGCTTTCTATTCCTGGAAAATGGATTGCAACTACGTTTACAATTGCAGGCACCACGACATTGAGGAAGCT